GTTTACCTTCCCAAAATTTGCCACTCCAGAAAGCCTAAAACCCCTTTTTTTGTCTTATCATTTCTCTACAAAGTTACTGTTCTTCTATTAAGATCCATATCAGCCCAAGTTCTAACCACCCTCTTGAGTTACTCTTCACTGAATCTTCTCTACATGATGTGTACTGCACACATTAATAAAATCCTTGTTTTTCTGTTAATCTTTTATTGGTCTAATTTTACAGGGTCCCTGAGGGACAATCCAGGAGAGTAGAAGGAAAAACACATTTCCTCCCCTACAGGGACAGTGGAAAAGGGGATGTGAAGGGACAGGAAGAGTGGGGGACCTGTGTCTAGGAGAGCGTGCACACAGAAGCAGGTCATGCAACAGAGCCTCTGAAAGTCCTCAGTGGTACAGGGTTGTGATTCAGACATCCTGACTGGGGAGAAAAGCTGGTCTTTGCTTATTCTAAATGAAGTGTAGCAAAGGTGTTCTGATGTTTTTAAACATAGACTAACCCAGGCCATGAAGGGGAAGGATGCCCACCTGCCTGTGGTAGTGAGAAGTCCAAGACTTCTAACATCTTCTGTTATAGAAGATATTATATTTCTTCTGTAATAGAGCAGCCTAGAAAGGCCCAAAGATACCAGCAACCAAAGAGATTCCCCACAACAAGCAGAAAACATAGGGCATATGCTCCCCATCTTTTGGGGAAAATGTCCGTCAGCATAAGAGAAAGTATAATGTTCAAATGAACATCCTAAAAACCTTTCACTTTTCCTTATATGAGATAAATATACTTGGAATGTTTTCTTATGCTAACCAAGGGCACTTTCCTAAAAAAAAAGATTTGCAAGAACTATTGTAATTCTAGTGGGCTAAACTTTTAGCAATCTCTCAATCTAATACACATCTTAACAAAATTACAGCTTTGCAATGCAATTTCATCATTGTAAGATGTGGAGAAATGCCATATAAATGCATAATTTTCACTACCTTCTTAGCTCTATGAGCTACCGTGTACTTCTAAGGAGAAAGTAGGTGCTGTTTTATTCTGGAAAAACAGAATCTCTCAAGGTCAAGATAGGAAGCTGATACACAGAGTTCTGATGCCACACACCTTACTGGCTTCCTCAAGCAGCTATCCCCTAAACCTACATGGACATGGTGTGCAAAGATGGGCTTGGTCTCTTCAGCCCACTAGGCAGCTACCAGAAACAACAGTTAGCAACAGCACATCTGGATGCATAATTCAAGTACTGATGGTAAAAGCACATATAGTCAGACTGTATTAGTCCAAAATGTATAATAATTTTCTTCAATTTTACACATTAAAAACTCTAAATTATTCTTTATCCTGAAATTTTTCAGCAATGAATTCAAGTATTAGGGCCTAAAATTCAGTTCTTTTTTCATAACAACTATATAATATTTTAAGAATGTTTCTTTTAACTTATAAATTTTAAAACTCTATGAAAACTAGGTAAATCAAACTATTCATGAATTATAATTTTCAACAACTTTTCAAGTTAGTTTTACTTATAATATGTACTTAAACTTCTTTATCAATACTTTAATAATTAAATTTATTTTCTTTAAAAATGCTGCTCTCCATTAAGTCAAACTAGCTCTGCCTTCACTATTTTGAACAAATAAGATTTTAATATTCTTGTATCGGCATATACACACACATAGTTTATTATACTTTTAAAAAAATGTAGTACACCCTGGTCAATTCTAAAAGTAGAAATATATTATTTGAATAAGTAGTTTATAAAATGTGATACAAAGACAAATCACATTATTTACTGATCACTGTTGGACTAAAGCAATACTAATCCTGAGGCATTCTTGTCAAAATAAATCTAATGAAGTTGTTAAAATAAATCTAATGAAGTAAAATGCTGACAAAAATTCTCTGTATTGAACATTCTATCTGAACACTATATATATGGAGTATTAGTCCATTTATTGACTAAACTTCAACAAAAATTTTCCATATACACATTTAAATATTTAGATTTCTTATAAAAGTGTATGAAAACTATAATCAAAAGCAACAGTACAAAATACACATAAAAGATTAAAAGCAAGCAATAACAAACAGTGATTATGTGAGGACAGAATGCTATTCTCCCTCTATTTTCCATTTTTGTAATGTTTTGCTTAAAGTTTGGAAAAGTGTATGTATTTTTAAGCAATAGTCTCTCACATCAAGAAAAGAATTACAGGGGCAGTGGCCTTTCCTAAAATGACAAACCAACACCCTTGGGCTCATAGTCATACTAAAGCTGGCAAGATTTCACATTCCTCAGCACACAATGGATCTTTCATCAATACTGGAAACTGCCTTTGTGAGAATATTTGCTAAGAATGGATGGAATTCTCAATGTTGCAAGCACCCATTGAATTATTCAAAAGAACAATGAATGAATGACTAATTAGAAGTGTTTCTTGAGATCAGGGATATTTATATTCCAAAAGAAAAAAACCTAAATCTAGCATTTTCTCCAGAACAGTTAGGAAGAACAGATTAAGTTTGTTAACCATATATGGGCATTGGTTCCCAAATGCTTTGCTATCAAAACTGTTAGAGTTGCCTTTTTCTTGACCAACTAATAATTTTAATTCCTCCTTGACTCATAAATATTGTTTGCATGTTTGTTGATATGTACTTTGCTCCACAAAAGAAAACTTAACCAACAATGAAATGAAATTTGATCCTCAATGTCTCCCTTAACCCAAAAAGAGAAGCCCTTTTGTTTTTCGTTTTTCTGGTTTTTTAAAATTATTTATTTATTTAAATAAGCTCTGCGGCCAACGTGAGGCTCAAACTCACAACCCCAAAATCAAGAGTCACATGCTCTTCGGACTGTGCCAGCCAGGCACCCCAAGATGTACCTCTGAATGAGTAACTATAAAACTACATAAAGATAATGTAATATTAAGTTAAAAAAAGTATGTCTCAAAAACTCATATACATGATAAGGTTAAAACCACTTAAAAATACATATACTTTGGGAGAATATAAGGAAATAATAAACACTAACTTCAGGATGATGGTTAGCTTAAATGAATTATGGCCATGGGATGGATTAATGAAAAGGATAACACAGTTAAGGTTATTACCAGTGTCCTAGCTTTTGTTTCATGGATTTTGTTTTGTGTTTTTTGTTTGGTGGCAGATTCCCAGGTGATTATGATACCATTTTAAAATACAGATGGATGAAAAAAATAAATAAATAAAATAAAATAAAATAGAGATGGATGGATGGCCGACAGATGATTGATAGATAAAGTGGAACAAGCATGGACCAATGATAATTGTGTTATGAACCAAAGATCACTAAACCTGAAATGAAATAACAGGAAATGATCCAACATGATATGAAGATAAAAATTCTTTACAGCATGTAGATTACCAACCAAACTACAATCTCTGGATCAACTCAAAAGTCATTCATCCAGATTTTATAACTTTCTTCTTCTACTTCACTAAACACTTTCAATTATGCTGCACAAAGTGACCAGTCAGACCTTCTAACATCACCAGTGAACTTCTGCTCAGAGAGTACAACCTAAAAAGAAAGGGGAAAAAAGGTAGCACAGAGGAAAAGCTGCTGTCTCACCCACGGACTCTCTGGAATGGGGCTGACAATGCCCACAAAGCCTGAATAGGCAATTGGTAATTCTTATCCATACTGTCAATACTTATTAAATGCCAAGTATATGTCAAATGTCATGAAAAGCACTAGAATCTTTCAGATTTATGATTAGGACAGTCCTAGCAGATATTTAAGTCCAGCCCATCACCTTCCAGAGCCCAGAATCAACATATCTTCAGGTCAAAAAATCGAGATAGGACAGTCACAGTGGAAACAGTATGGAGGTTCCTCAAAAAATTAAAAATAGAAATACCATATGGATCCAATAATTCCATTCTTGAGTGTTTACCCAAAAACAAAAACGCTAATTTCAAAAAGACATATGCACCACTATGTTTATTACAGCATTATTTACAATAGCCCAAATATGGAAGCAACCCAACTGTCCATCAATAGACAAATGGATAAGGAAGATGTGGTGTATATACAACAGAATATTCCATAAAAAAAGATGAGATCATGCCATTTGAGACAACATGGATAGACCTATAGGGTATTATGCTAAATGAAATAAGTCAGGCAGAGAAAGACAAATACTATATGATTCTACTCATGAGTGGAACCTAAAAAATAAAACAAAACAAATGAATAAACAAACAAAAAGCAGAATCAGACCTATGAATACAGAGACCAAAATGATGGCTGCAGTAAGGACGGGGGGCGGGTTGGGCAAAATGGGTGAAGGGTGGTGGGAGATACAGGCTTCCAGTTATGGAATGAGTAAGTCATGGGAGGGCGTCTGGGTGGCTCAGTCAGTTAAGTGACCGACTACTGGTTTCAGCTCAGGTCATGATCTCGTGGGTCATGAGATGGAGCCTTGCGTCAGGCTCCCTGCTCAGCAGAGAGCCTGCTTGAGAGTCTCTCCATCTGCCCCTCCCCCCCAACTCCATGCTCTCTCTCCATGCTCATTCTCTCTCTCTCTCTCCCCCTCTCTCTCTCTAAAGTGGATAAATAAATCTTAAAAAAAAAAAAAGTCATGGGAATAAAAGTTACCACATAAGGAATACAGTCAGTGACACCATAATAGTGACATATTGGGTAAGATGGTAGCTACACTTGCGGTGAATGTAGCATAATGTATAAACTTGTTAAATCACTATGTTGTACACCTGAAACTAATGTAACATTGATGTCAACCATACTCAAAAAAAAAAAAAAATCAAGATAACTTCAGGTATTTTATTTGGCTGCTTACCTACACATGCAAATGCTAGAGCAGCTCATTTATAAAATAAGGTTATAATGGCTCCCCAAAGTTAAAAGATTTCAAATTTCTATTACAAGAATTGGGGATGGGGAGGAGATTATTTCTTCAACAGATGAGATTTCACATGGATGTGTTGCTGTTTGTTTTACCTGCTATCTCCAAAAGTGAGTTTACATGATCTCCTTCTGCCAGCTTCACAAATCCAACCTGATTTCCAAAAGTGTCAATCCCTTGAAAGGGCAAAATCAACTGTTTTCCTTGGAGGATTTCTTCTATGAATGGTTTTAATTCCAAAAGAGCACCAATACCACTGGTAAGAGATAATATAATTTTCAGTAACATATTAAGTAATAAAATATATAAAACCAAACAAATAATCAGTTTTAGAAAGATAAATTTGGTATTTGTTCTAATTAGTTTAAAGTTCAAAAATAACTTCAAAACCTAATCTATATGATTAAAATAAAACTATTATTAATTTTTTTTAATTTTAACTTTTTTTTATTATGTTCCATTAGTGAACATATAATACATCCATTAGTTTTCGATGTAGTGTTCAATGATTCATTAGTTGCGTATAACACCCAGTGCTCATCACAACACATGCCCTCCTTAATACCCATCACCTGGTTACCCCATCCCCCACCCCCCGCCCTTCTGTAACCCTCAGTTTGCTTCCCGGAGTCCAGAGTCTCTCATGGTTTGTCTCCCTCTTTGATTTTTAAACAAAAACTATGGAAGAAGGGAATTAAATCTTTACTTAATTATAATTTATATTATATCAAAGACATGAAAGAAAATACTATTTTATAGTTCACCGAGAAGTTTTTTTTTTTTTTAAAGATTTTATTTATTTATTTGAGAGAGAGAGAATGAGAGAGAGCACATGAGAGGGGGTAGGGTCAGAGGGAGAAGCAGGCTCCCCGCCGAGCAGGGAGCCCGATGCGGGACTCGATCCAGGGACTCCAGGATCATGACCTGAGCCGAAGGCAGTCGCTTAACCAACTGAGCCACCCAGGCACCCAAGAAGTTTTTAATCCAGGGAACACTGCACAGACAACTCAAAAAAAATTACTGATCATATATTCCAAAAACCTAATACCAAAAGAGCTCCTATTAGATTCTGTGGAAAGTTCTGGATTCTTATTAAAAGTACTAATACAGTATTTATTGTATTTACTTAGGGTAAATACTATTTGCAAAGTACTCTACTAAAACTTAATATTCATTATCTCTTAAACTATAATAGCCTCTATAACAAGGTAATACTGTAACTGGATTAAACAAAATACAAGCTTATATTTGCCAACTACAACCACATAAGTTTATTTCTGTTTAACCTATGTGATTAAAGGACTACTCTGTTTCAAATGCTTTCTTTTTCTTCATAATAACAAATGTTTACTATATGAATGAATTAAACATGATCAGGTTTCGAATATTTTGAAAATTAGGATAAATTATTTCCATCTTTAAGAGAATTCTGGTGTAGGTATGTTGTTATGAGAAAAAAAATTAAAATCTCACTAGAGGGCAGCAATTACTCCAAAAAGAAGGGTACAGTCTTACATAATGTAAAGGGCTTTAAAACACCCTTCTGTTGAAACATCATTAATTTAAACTGTCTTGATCGGTGTGATTTGTTCACCAGTAATTATATGTCAAATGTGTGAAAAGAAATGTAGGTATTTTTCTAGCTCTTTCATATTTCTAAATTGGTTTTCATATAAAGTTTGTAACAGATCTCATCCATAACTTCATACTGAGTTTCAATTCTCATCTATGTCATAACAAAATGTACAATACTTCAAAATACCTTTGGAAAGGTCAACATTTCTCATTGTACCTCCAAACCCGCATCCTAAATCCAATCTTTCCTGACTGTATTTATGTTCATCCAAAAAGACACAGTGTACATAGGTCTACTGCAAGACTGTCCTTCACTGCGTGCTGGGAGTTAGAGCATGTGAAAGTTGAATGGCCACTTCTGGCTCATCTTTCGTAAACTGGGGAATTCAAGATACTCATTTTAAATGTAACTATGCACTAACGCAGGCCATGCTAAAGGTTAGGGCTTTTCACAGTGAATTCTTTATGCCATTTTTCATTAAAGAAATAGAGATGATCTAAACTCAGACCAGTTTCAGTTTTTTTCAGTTCTCTAGGAGCATAAACCAATAAATAAGTCCCGATGAGATGTCACTGATCACAGAGTAAGAAAAAGTCATAGTGTCTATTGGTAAGTATCACTAACTTTCAAATTCTTTTAAATAGAATATCTTTTCAAGACTGATTTATGGAAAGACTTCTTCATGGTAAAAAGGGTAAAAAGTAAATGCATACATGAAACAGAACTCTGAAACTAGAGTTCAGACCCAAAGGTGTATTTATTTGCAATTAAGGCAGGACAACCATCTTTTCAACTCAGCAGCTGGGTTTGGCCTTACAAATTTCTATGCCTTTCTTCTACATCATGAGGGCAAAGGACCTGAGGTGGTATCTGAAGAAATTCATGATTTAAAAAAAAAAAAATTTTTTTTAAGTAATCTCTGCACCCACCACAGGGCTTAAACTCACAACCCTGAGATTAAGAGTCACACGCTCTACTGACTAGGCCAGCCAGGCGCCCTGAAGAAATTCATGATTTTACAAAATGCTTCTGCATGCTCCATACCCAACCCATTGGTCAATATATCATTAAACACCTAAATAATGATACTACATTTTGAAAAGTTAAGAACACAGAACAAGGAACTGATAATACAGATGTCAACATATTATACAGTAAAGGATGAAAGGTAAAGTGAAAAGATTAGAGACTTAGAAAATCCTTCATATAAATAATGTTTTACCAGAAAACCCAATCGTTTTCTCTCTAACTATATAGCTACCCAAAGCGAAGTCACATCTTGATTCTGTTCCTTATTTAAAAGTTAACACTGCTAGGGCGCCTGGATGGCTCAGTCCATGAAGCGGCTGACTCTTGACTTTGGCTCAGGTCATGATCTCAGGGTCCTGGCACGGGGCCCCGCGTCAGGCTTCCCACTCGGCAGGGAGTCTGCTGGAGGATTCTCCCTCTCCCTCTGCCCCTCCCACCTCTTGCATGCTCGCTCGCTCTCTCAAATATCTTTTTAAAAAACAAAATAAAATAAAAAATAAAAACTCTGCCACAGACACTTCCCTGGCTTCCCAAACTAGTAGCAAATCTTTACTTCTTTGAAATTCCATTAATACTTTATATCTTATGAAACATACCAGTTTTTATGTTTTTCTATTATAGTTATTTGAGTTCATATGGTATCTAGTCAACTTAATTGTATAATCCATGAGCATAAGAGCCATCCCTGATTCATCTTCATTTTCCCCAAAGCACTTAGTTCAGTATCTTGCACATGACTGGTAATTAACACTGGTTGAGTTGCAAAACATTGTCTTGTCTGTAGAGCAAATCTCATTATTTCTTAGATTTTTTTATTATAACTTTTGTCAAGAAGAATTACTAAACTGCAAATATCTGGTCATCATCTTCTAGTAGAGAGAATATTCCCAGTATCATAAAGTTGCATAAGGATGCCACTTCCAACACAAAGTTGACTTGCTAAACATTGCGTTTTTTCACAAAACTAAAAGTATTTGCAAAAGGCCCTGGTAAAACACAGGCCTGAATGACACAGAGTCACCATGCTCTCCGTACAGGAATTCTTCAACATGTGATGCCATGACTTAGGGCAAGACGATGCTGCCTCATTCAGGACCGTCCCATGCGCTGCAGATGGCTTAGCAACCCTCACTCCTGCCCATCAAATGCCCATAGCACTCCTCAGTAATCGTGACACCCAAAAATACCCCCCCCCCCAAATATTTCTAAAAGTCTCCTGCAGAAGGCAGTCTTGCGTCCACGGAGAAATGTAAGCAGTACGATACATTGGAAGCATACCTGCCCCCTCATCCCAACCCCACTGGACACCACGTGCTCATCAGTAGAGGCCACCGAGGTATAGGAAGCCATTCATATCTGTGCAGACTGATCTTTCCCACTTCTCTTATGCCCTGTGCTCATCCTCTCCCTCCTGCCTCCACCCCACCCTTCTCTTTGCGCCTCCCCATCTTTCACACACACACACCCCATGGAGTACTAAGAAAACTGACTAGTTCTGGCTTCTCTACTGACCAGTATTTGCTTAATTACTAGGGCTCTTGCTTCCTCATATGTATAAGGGAGATGGCATTTCTGTGCTACCTCCCAATACCATTAAGAGAATAAAAGGAAATAATACCTGTATGGGGGATGGAAGCTGGGGAGCCGAGGCTGACAGAGATATGCCATACACCAACACCAAGACCCATTTCTGATGACAAAGATAAACCTAAACCTACTGATCAATGGTGACTCAACCTTTTCTGGTTTAAAAAAGTCTCTTTGGGGTACAATTATTCAGTTAATTCAAACCTCCTTTCAGGAGTTTTTCCCTTCCCTCTCTCCTCCTCCTTCCCAAGGAATCCAGCATACCCTTCTAAAAGAACTGAGGAAGATCTCTCAACTGCTTGCTGTTTGAGTCCTCAGAGAGTCCCATTTCGGGGGGACTGGTCTGGTCATATCCCTGGGCGCCCTATATCAGGGTACATGACAGCATGCTTATTCTTTCTGGGCTTCGTACCAGCAGGTACTGCCGAAGCACAAGATCTCTGGTCAAGAAACATGGGTGTTCAGCAGTGTCCTCATCCCTTACCTAGCTCCTGATTCACCAATTCTTTCTGAGTTGGACTTCCAAGTCCACCCACCAGGGCACAAGAAACTTCTGCATCCATTTTTATGTCTTGATAGGCAATGGGGAATTGAAGGAACTTCCTCAGGTCCGTCTGTTAGAAATCTTCCTCAACTCTAATCTACCACCTATGTGACACCACATTCTTCTAGCATTAGTTAAACAGGAACTTCTCCAAAGAGCTTGCGTTTTCCCCATACCCTGAGAACCCCAAACCGACGTGAGTGTCTCTACCATTCCTAATTCTCTGCTCCAGCACTGGTGGGGGCCAGGCTTGGAAAGAACATTCAACCCCAACAGGGGAGCCAGAACATTGTGTCTGCCTTCATGCCTCGAAGACTCCACCTAGCACTGGAGGGGTTCCATACTCCTTCCAGCCCAGGACAAGAAGACTCACAGCAGCCATCTACAACCCTCCTCAAAGTTGTCTGTGCTTTTACTGACCACACTGAAGTTCTTTTGAATTTGTTGCTGGTTCAGGATCTCCCACTTGCCACCCCTTACACCAGCTCACCAAGAGAAAAGACTGAGGTCCCCCAAGAAAGAAGGAATTCTGCCTCCAGACTGCCTTGAACTTGAGACTACATCAACTCTTCCCTGGATTTTGGACTTGCCAGCCTCCACAGTCACATGAGCTAATTCCTTAAAATAAATTCCGTATGTAAGTGTAGATACAGATATGTCGAGATATCAACATATCTAGATACCCGTACAGACATACATCCTATTGGTTCTGTGTCTCCAGAGAACACTGACTAATTCACTGTTCTAACACACACAGGGCACCACTCTTCTGTCAGGCTTTCATCTTCTCCTTCTCCTTTGGCTTCTTTTCCTTTGAGAGCATCAAAGTATTTTGTCTTCTGATTGGCAAAGTGAACAGTGAAAGTGAGGCAAGTAAAAAAATCTTCCAGGCCTCTCTGCAATTGCAGGGTGCCCAAGACCTGCTCTTGGGTAGATCAGGTTAGAAGAGATCAGAAGACCAATCTCTAGAGACATGAAGGTCTACTGTTTAAAAGACATAACTACAAAAATCGTAATTTGGCTTCATATTTTGAGTTACTAGTTCATTGTTTTCTCCCTTTCCCTCACCCTCCTCCCAATGCACGCCTTGTTCTTCATTCCCTCAGGAAACTACATGTCAGGGTAGAAAACAGAAGTAACCTGCAATGCATTCTGACTCTGGTTTTCCAAAGAGCTAAAGCTTCAGCTTAATCCAGAAAGCTATATAGAAGGTAACAAGGAAAGGAGCAATCATACGTACAGACAGAGTAACCCAGAGAACTGGGGGGAAGACCAAGGTTTCGCCACTCCAGGCTGAAAAGCAGCAGCCAATGACTCATACCCAACCTTTACGGCACAACTCTAGAATTCGGAATGGGCAGTATACAGGTACTCTAAGATTGAGTAAGGTAAAATGGTAATTGTCTACTGACCTAAGGGAATGGCAGTTCTAATGACTAACAACACTGGCTGCCTGCGTGTGCCAGGCCCTGTACGAGGAGCTCTTACGTGTACTGGTACTATTATTTTTCCCATTTACTTAAAAAGTGGACAATTTGCCCCAAATCAGGTTGTGCCATGGTTCCAAAATCTTTACCAAGAATCCTAACCTAAATGGTCAGCCTCCAGAGTGCTTACATGATTAACATGGGCAAAACAACTGCATGACCAAGGGCTACTATTTGATAACAATAACAGAGTTGAAAAGTCTAAATTAGGGGGAATATTTGTATTGTTAATTCTGTACATTGACTATTAGTTGAAATAAATTATAACAAAGATACCGATTGAGACCTGATTTATGACCGAGGATGTGATCTATTCTGGAGAATGTTCCATGGGCACTAGAGAAGAATGTGTATTCCGTTGCTTTGGGATGGAATGTTCTGAATAGGTCTGTGAAGTCCATTTGGTCCAGTGTGTCATTTAAAGTCTTTATTTCCTTGTTGATCTTTTGCTTAGACGATCTGTCCATTTCAGTGAGGGGGGTGTTAAAGTCCCCCACTATTATTGTATTGTTGTCGATGTGTTTCTTTGCTTTTGTTATCAATTGCCTTATATAATTGGCTGCTCCCATGTTAGGGGCATAAATATTTACAATTGTTAGGTCTTCTTGCCACTCTGCAAAACAGTATGGAGGTTCCTGAAAAAGTTGAAAATAGAGCTACCATATGATCCAGCAATTGCACTACTGGGTATTTACCCCAAAGATACAAAATAGGGATCAGAAAGAGTACGTGCACCCCGATGTTTATAGCAGCAATGTCCACAATAGCCAAACTGTGGAAAGAGCCAAGATGTCCATCGACAGATGAATGGATAAAGAAGATGTGGTATATATACAATGGAATATTATGCAGCCATCAAAAGGAATGAGATCTTGCCATTTGCAACAACGTGGATGGAACTGGAGGGTATTATGTTGAGTGAAATAAGTCAAACAGAGAAAGACATGTATCATATGATCTCACTGATATGAGGAATTCTTAATTGCAGGAAACAAATTGAGGGTTGCTGGAGTGGGGGGTGGGTTGGGAGGGATGGGGTGACTGGGTGATAGACACTGGGGAGGGTATGTGCTCTGGTAAGCGCTGTGAATTGTGCAAGACTGTTGAATCTCAGATCTGTACCTCTGAAACAAATAATGCAATATATGTTAAGAAAAAAAAAAAGAAGAAGAAGAAGGTAGCGGGAGGGGAAGAATGAAGCGGGGGAAATCAGAGGGGTAGACGAACCATGAGAGACGATGGACTCTGAAAAACAAACTGAGGGTTCTAGAGGGGAGGGGGGTGGGAGGATGGGTTAGCCTGGTGGGGGTATTGAGGAGGGCACATTCTGCATGGAGCACTGGGTGTTATGCACAAACAATGAATCATGGAACACTTCATCTAAAACTAATGATGTAATGTATGGGGATTAACATAAGAATAAAAAAAAAATTATAACAAAGAATGCTTCCTTAGAATTTCAATGCCTCGGGCGCCTGGGTGGCTCAGTTGGTTAAGCGACTGCCTTCGGCTCAGGTCATGATCCTGGAGTCCCTGGATCGAGTCCTGCATCGGGCTCCCTGCTCAGCGGGGGGTCTGCTTCTCCCTCTGACCCTCCCCCCTCTCATGTGCTCTCTAATAAATAAATAAAATCTTAAAAAAAAAAAAAAAAGAATTTCAATGCCTCTGGGTTCTGCTATGTTTACTCATATTAAAGTAGTAACTTGGGCGCCTGGGTGGCTCAGTTGGTTAAGCGACTGCCTTCGGCTCAGGTCATGATCCTGGAGTCCCTGGATCGAGTCCCTCATCGGGCTCCCTGCTCGGCAGGGAGTCTGCTTTGCCCTCTGACCCTATCCCCTCTCATGTGTTCTCATCTCATTCTCTCTCAAATAAATAAATAAATAATCTTAAAAAAAAAAAAAAAGTAGTAACTTGAAAAGTGATATTCAAGGAAGGCATATTACTCACATGTTTACTTCATCTTCACTTAATAGCTGCATCACTAGCAGGGTAATATGAAAGGAGCCATCACTGGTCATTGCTTTGGCTAGTTGCTTATCTTGTTGTATTATTGCATTTTGCAGGATCTTAATTCCTCTTGTAATCTAATCACACACACACACATATACACACAAAACATAGATTAGGCAAGCAAAATTTCCTTACGGCAATTTGTAAATCAAGAGAAAAATAAGCAACAACCAAAATTAGAACTGTGTCAAGATGCTTCAACCAAGCAATGCTTAATTACCTACTTGTTCTCAAATATCCTGGATAAAATGACTTGGGAAGCTTAATATGATGTATAAGTTTTTAAAAATCATACAATCCTTGTTCATCTTAAAAACATCAAGCCTAGGGGTGCCTGGGTGGTGCAGTCAGTTAAGCATCCAACTCTTGATTTTGGCTCAGGTTGTGATCTCAGAGTCCTGAGACTGAGCCCCACGTCGGGTTCCGTGCTCAACATGCAGTCTGCTTGAGATTCTCTCTCCCTCTCCCTCTGCCCCTCCCACTCATGCACGCGCTCTCTGTCTCTAAAATAAATAAATAAATCTTAAAAAGAAAGAAACAAACATCAAGCCTAATACCCTTATTTTACAAATTGGGTCACTGGTTGAGCCCACTGGTTGACAACCTCTCAGTGACCATGCATCTTTTCAGAAACTTGTCCTTGGAATATGCAGTATGACTCACGATAATTATGATCTTTCCTAAAATAAAAAAAAAGTTTCATTCTTGCCACAGAAAGGTCAAACCAGCAGACAACATTCCATTCCTGTTGGAAGTATTATTTATTTGTCCCCAAATGAATGTGTCTGAGAACCCATTCTTCATGGCCTTTAAAATTTTTTAGGACAGCAATAATCTCAACAGGAGTGACTATTGTCATTTTTCCAGATGTGTGAGGAGGGGCATAACCATGGAGAGTTGCAAAGAGGTCCAAATGCATATGTTACAAAAACAATGACAGTCTGCATGGAGTGAGAGCCCTCGTCTCTCATCAGACTGCCCCCTCTCAGTCTCTGCTCTGAAACAAGCAGGGGGGACGATGTTCTTCCCTCCTCCTCTTCCAGCTAGGTACAATTCCAGTCAACTTCTCCATGTGAGTGTACTGGAAGATGGTTGGAATGTGAAACAGCAAACTGAGCAATACTCAGAGAAAAGAGAGCACACAGAAGCTCTGAGGCAGCAGAATTCGTCAGAGAGCAAAGGGGAAGGAGAGGGGGCTGGCAACAGAAGCAGAGTCCATTAAAAAATAGCAGAGATAAGAAAAAACAGAATCATGAGTACAGCAGACTGTTCTGATACTAGAGTAGCTGTTTTATGCTGAACAATGTTCCCATTATCTGCAGAATGTGACTGAACAAATCATGAGATGCCATCCTGGGATCTGACTTCCCGTGTATCTTTACAATAAATCCACATCACCCAAAATAATCTCAGCATTTCTCTGCTTCTTGCCATCTGGAAGACAGTGACACAGGAAATGCTGTTTTCCTGGGAGGAAGTTATGCAGTAACACCCAACATACTATTTCCCAAGGCAAGATGTCACTTCCATGAAACCTAGCAAAAGAATATTGATAGCCTGATAAACAAAGCGCTCCTGACGAATAGTACACAAAGATCATACAGAGTCACTTTCCTCTACTATCAATAAAACTAAATTGTAAACACCTCAAGGGAAATGCTCATTTCTCCTAACCCACCCTCTCACCATGGTGACTAGTAACAATAATAAAAACAATATTTAAAAGTATACCTGAAACTAACAGAACACTGTATGTTAACTACGGTAGAATTAAAATAAAGTAAAATAAAATAAAGAAGAGAACTGGCACGAGGACATACCAGTAAATATCAGTCCACATTATTCTAAAATGTGTTTTTCACCTAAAATTTATTCGACATTTTCCAAATATTAAATACATAGAATATCTTTGTTTTTTTAATAGCCTAGGGTTCCAATTTAATTATCTACTCCCTTACTTATAGAAATAAAGTTTTTTCTCAAAAAAAAAATAGTTTTTAATTAAGGAAACAAAACAAAAAAACAGTATTTAAAGAACTATAGCAGTAACTAACCTTTATGGTGTGATCACTAGGTTCTAGGTACTAAAGTGAGCATTTTACACATATTAGTTCACTGAAGCCTCTGAACATTGCTATGTGGTAGATATGGGTATTAACTCTATTAAAATAAATTGAAAAACAGAAGATTAAAAAAAAAACTCTTCAAAATCATATACCCAAAATAGCAAAGAACTTAAGGATAAATTACAACACATGAGAAAAAATGCAACAGATAGAAGGAATTGGTTTATTTTCAAGAGGGGATAAATAAATATATATTTTTATATATATAAAATGGAATGTTACTCAGGCATAAAAAGGGATGAGATCTTGCCATTTGCAAAAAACATTGATGGACCTGGAGGGTATTATGATAAGTGAGATAAGTCAGACTGAAAAAGACAAATATCGTAAGATTTCACTTATATGTGGAATCTAAAAAACAAAACAAATAAACAAATAAAAACCAGAAAGAGACCCACAGATAAAGAAAACAAACTCATTGCCTAATATAAGGTATGGAACACTGCCAATATTAAAATCAATGTTCCTCTACCCTACGTGTAGTTCTGCTTCCAGGGTACCATCTGGCAATGTTTGGAGATATTTATGTCATAACTGGGGACTTGCTACTTGTTTTTTGTTTGTTGGTTTGGTTGGTTGGTTCTTTTAAAGGTTTATTTGAGAGACAGTGGGAGGGGCAGGGGGGGAGGGGGGAGGGAGAGAGAGAACCCCAAGCAGACTCCCCACTGAGCACGGATTCCATCACAGGGCTCAATCCCAGGACCCCGAGATTATGACCTGACCCGAAAAACAGGAGTCAGACAGACACTCAACCACCTGAGCCACCCAGGCACCCCAGGACTTGCTACTTGAACCTAATGGGTAGAACATCTACCTTTTCATAAAAACACTCTTCATTCTGGGCTCAAATAATAACCATATGGAAATTCAGGATAATAATCGAAAAATTGCATTCATTTGTGTAGGCAGCATTTTAGTGCAATGTCCAGCATGATAAAACAGTTTCAGACCATTCACACTGAAAATTAAAAACCATAAAATACTTTGAAGGTTAATTCTCTAATGTCACACAGTACTTACGATGCAGGATTACCTTCAACCTATGAAAATTCTAAAGATAATCTAATCAAGTAATATATATCTTTTTTTTTTTTAGTTTTATTTATTTAAGTAATCTCTACACCCACCATGAGGCTTGATCTCACAACCCTGAGATCAAGAGTCGGATGCTCCTCCGACTGAGCCAGCCAAGTGTCCTGAATCGAGTAATATATTTCCAGCTATGCTTTGATGCTCCAGATTAATTTATAATATTCCTTGATATCATCTTAAGAGCTTCATAAATCCTTTTTTATTCCTAATTACATTCTTAAAACATAAAAGAAAAATGAAAAAAACTTCAGAGTCTTCCTCCGTAAGCCACTTTAAAAAGTACCAATGTCATTAAAGGCCAAAGAAAACTAATTTTTACAGCCACTGTTTAAAATTCTATAAAGCTATTAAAGCTTGTCTGTCACCCTAATCCCCAGCCATTGACAGTACTTCACAGGCACATTCTAAAAACCTAATACTATAGAGTCATATTTAAATATGATATTGAGAGAAACTTTTAAAAATAAGAGCATTATTAAAATCTTAAATATTTCATTATTATCTTTGTGTTTAGGGAACAAGAACAAACATCCACTTGTTAAACCTCACCACTAAGCCATATTCCACATGCCTAAAAATAATGCAGTAAGAAAATTCATTTGTATATCTTTTAAGCTTTCTAATGGACTCAAGGCATATATGAGTGCAAAGAAAAAGCCTTAAAGTTACAGTGCTTCTGCATGAGGAAGAGAAGTTACATTCCAACACAGAGTAGGAGAATGTCTTTGACCCCATCTTTTGACATTATTTTCAGAATTTTTTGAAGCTGTTAACTTATATTGTTCCTAAATTTGCTGCCTCATTAAGATTTACTAGAATTATCACTTCAATTCGCTACGTAACTTTTCTTCATTGCTGAATACTTTCATTTTTCTTGCTTGTCTACAACCATGAAAAGAACTTGAAAAACTGATGACAGAGCAAAACTGGAGTAAAAGTAAAAAATCATCCTCTGGGGCACCTGGGTGGCTCAGTCGTTAAGCGTCTGCCTTCGGCTCAGGTCATGATCCCAGGGTCCTGGGACCAAGCCCCGCTTCAGGCTACCTGATCCGCGGGAGGCCCGCTTCTCCCTCTCCCACTCCCCCTGCTTGTGTTTCCTCTCTCGATGTGTCTCTCTCTGTCAAATAAAATCTTTAAAAAAAAAAAAGTAAAAAATCATTCTCAAATAGGAGAATTTTTCAAACCTACCAAGTGCTTAACATACACACCATGATAGCAAATACTTTTACAATTACATATCCCAGAAAAGAACTGAATACTTTTATTATGTTTATAAGACCAGCAATTTTCACATTACAAAATGATGAAATATGGAATTAAATGTTACAAATGCCTTTTAAAACCCCCAAAGAAAATCATATTTTTCCATTAGTATAAAAAATTATCTTATAAAAAATTAATACACTCCTGAATTCAGTTTCTAATTGTCCCCTTGCATTTTTTCAGTGCTGATTTACCTTTTAATATTACCACTCATAAGAAAGCACCTAAAACTAACATATGAGTAAATCCAACTAGAATTAATAATTAATTAAATAATTCTAGCCACTTAGGAAACATGTAGGATTTATTATAACTCCATTAAATTTTTTCCTTCTTTATTTTTATTTTTAAACTAATGTATAATTGCAGGTAATGGAGAAACACATACTTTCATATACTTGAAACTAGGATATTTTTATGCAGCCATTCTAATGCATTTTCCAATTCTATTTCTTAAAAGTATGAAATTATGAATTTCCATTAATGAAGAATTTCAAACATCTAAGAATAGGTTTAAAAATCAAAGACCCATATAAGTCTGAATACTTTTTTCTTTAAAAGTAGATGCCAACAAGTAGAGGCCAAAAGTAGAGCAACTCATTGTGAATGTGCTAGCTTCTAAAAGCTTGTTTGCAGGTCACTTAATTGGAACTTGGAATACAGTCTCCCATTGAAACAATGTTATAAATGCTGCTTCTTTTCCCAGGCCTTCCCACAAAAGCTCATAAGTAGTTTTAAAAGAAAATTTAACATCTGATACTTTAAAACAAACAAACAAAAAAGATGTTCATATAAAAGATATAAAATGTATCTCCTAATCTTGTCCCATCCTACCTCTCCTCCCTATATTCGTATGTAAGCTTTCTGTTACCTACAAATAAGTCTCTTGAGAGGGAAACATTAAATTATTTGGTTTCCAGGTCCCTTGAAACATGCATTCCCCATAACTACCAGTCACCCTACCCTCAAATGATGGCTGTTAAACCCGTATTATGAAACCACCATTTATAACACTGTATTTCTTATCTGTAAATTATTGTAAATGTTTTGGTGTGACTTGGTATGCCACAAACACATCTCCAGCCCTGAAATGACAGTATTTTGTGTGTGTATATTTCTATTCCTGCCAAGCTCTGCTCTAGGTACTGGGAATGAGCCGAAGAACTTTGTGCGGAAGACGAACACGTTCAGGTTGCAAGGATGGTAGATCACAAAACGAAAGCTATGAGAGCCTGGAGGTGGCAGGGTGGGGGTGACTGAGGCGAGGTGGTCACCAGTGAAGAGGCTGGAGCTGAAATTATGGCATTAACAAAACCAAGAAGAGAGGAAAGAAAACTCCCAGACAGAAAAGGCTTTCTCTGGGGGCAGAGGGAACCTGGCAAGTTCAAGGCCAGAGAGGCTCAAGGAGAAGGGACAAATGCCAAAGTGGAGAAAGCTGACCCATGCAGAACCTCATAGAACATGGTAAAGCCTCTGTCTTTGTCCCAAAACCAACAGGAAAATAGTGAAAGATATAAGCAGGTGGGTGACATGTCCAGATTTGGGGTTAGAAAATAATTATCACCTCCATTTTACACCTAAAGAAATGTAAACTACAGAAATGAAGTCACCTGACCTACATCCACAGCGAGTTTGTAGCCCAGATGGTATTCAAACAAGGCCTGTAGGACTCCAACGCTGCACTCTTCCCACTTTCTACACAACCTCCCAGAGAGTGGGAAGCAGAAACAAAAGCTACGGCAGCTTACACGGTGAAAACTAAGAGATGTAGACCATTCTTTCTCTTCCCCTTGCTCCAGGCACTTTTGTGGCCCAAATCCTGAACTAAGTGGCAGAAGGAAAGAATTTCTCGACCCCCTTTCATCTTCATCCCCTTCCCCACCATATCACCCCACTGACCTTCACTGGAAGAGGCAGGAGGCCAGAATGAGGAGAGGAGGGGTAGGGCCGACATGAAGGGGACATTGAGCTGCTGTTCAGACTACCACGGGAGCCACAGATGGAGGAGTGAAGGGAGACAGACTACAGGAAGGGCCTAATTAGAGCAACTTACAGAAGTGCTTCCCAAACTTCTATACTGATGGAGTGTAGTGGAACAATCTCTACGCTGCAAAGGAACCTGGGGTCTCTTCCAACCACAAATCGTGTGTCCGTGGGGAAGTCACTTTGCCTGTTTCACACTCTGGGGCCTAAGGACCTGGCTTTGGACTTATCAGTTAAGCAGCATCACCTCTCTTCTAACTCCCATATGTGCAGATGATCCTAAATTTCAAAGGAAACCCGTCTAAATAACTCATAGGTATTTTAATGCACTATATAATATGTAACATAATAGATAATTGCTCATGACATTAAACTCTGTGTCACCTGAACACTTTTAAGGACTATTGTACTGTTAACCCACCACTCTTTACTGGTGTGTTGCAGTAAAATCAAAATCTAATTCATTACTGCATTAAATTCTAAAAACTTGGGGCGCCTGGGTGGCTCAGTCGTTAGGCGTCTGCCTTCGGCTCAGGTCATGATCCCAGGGTCCTGGGATCGAGCCCCGCATCGGGCTCCCTGCTCGGCGGGAAGCCTGCTTCTCCCTCTCCCACTCCCCCTGCTTGTGTTCCCTCTCTGGCTGTGTCTCTCTGTTAAATAAATAAATAAATAAATAAATAAATAAATAAATAAATAAATAAATAAAATTCTAAAACCTTGTATTGCTAGGTAATAGAAATTCTCTTTTTATGTATCTTCTCTCCCCAGCTAAACTGTGATTTCACAGACTAGAAATTTCCTGGAATGTATCAATAATATTTATTTTTTCTTTTGATATTTATTCATTTGATTTCAATTTCATTTGCTTTAAATCCTTTGCTTTAAAAATTCATTAGCATCCCCTAGAAACATTCTAGTTAAATAAGGGGAGAAACAAATGCAAAATGTGCCTAGTGTTAAAAAAAAAACCACAGACCCAAAATGGAGTCACATGTTAAAAGCCCCATGTCAGCCCACCCAAGACTTAACACCTAACCTAACTGCCCCCCTAGGAACATAACCAGTCCATAAGGAATTTCCTGGTCAGCACCTTCCATGGGAGGGTGACCTTACCTAAAACGATGGATTCTTTGCTAATAGTTTCCTTCTTTCCTCTCCCTCTCTACCTTTAAAACCCTTTCCTTTTCTGCAGCCTGATGGAGTACTTTTCTCTCTGCCACATGAGATATTGCCCAATTCATGACTTGTTCGATAAAGCCAACTGGATCTTCAAATTTACTCGGAATTTTTGTTGTTTAACACTAGTAAAAGAGATCATAGTCCACAATCAAATAGAAATTCCGATCTGCCTCTCAAATTGCACCAATATGTGAAAACAATCAATCTTCCAAGTGAGCTGTTCTTTCCTACCTCACCGCTCTAGCAGTTTTATTAGATACTGATACTATAGCTCTCAGCTACGTACAAGAGTTTCTTAGTTTGAGCCAATCGACTGGTCCCATTTCCTATTATTCATACCACATTAATTTTTCAGATTTTTAATAGATTTCTACCCAAGTTATCATGCAATATTAAATCGGCACAACAATGAGTAATTTTTAAAGAAACTGTGTTGCAATAATCATCGCCTTACACAGGACTAAGCAGCAAGAAATCCCACTTTACTTTCCTAGCAGAGATTTCAGAATCCTCTTTTTCTACCTGGTCACTACTCTCTGCTTCTGAAAGGCTCCCCCGTTGTGGCGAGCAAATGCTTAGAGAGAACCAAACTTGACATGCCATCTGGCAACACTTTTTAAAAGGCTTTTGTAAAATTATTATTTAAATATGGTTTTTTAAATAGTATTTCTCAAAATTACTGTTTAAATATATTCTATTGTTCAAATAGGATTATTTCTTATATAGCCCAACTAAAATGCCACCAAAGACACTTAAGGGCTGACAGCAAATGGGCTTACAAGCATTTAATGTATCTTAAATCTAATTTAAAATAAAACTTTATAGTAAAATAGTTTTTTTAAAAAAAAAATAACACCTCTTGGGCACCTGGGTGGCTCAGTCGTTAAGCGTCTGCCTTCGGCTCAGGTCATGATCCCAGAGTCCTGGGATCGAGCCCCACATCGGGCTCCCTGCTCAGCGGGAAGCCTGCTTCTCCCTTTCCCACTCCCGCTGATTGTGTTCCCTCTCTCGCTGTCTCTCTCTGTCAAATAAATAAATAAAATCTTTAAAAAAAAAGAAAAGAAAAGAAAAAAATAACACCTCTAAAAAACAAAACAAATGAATAAACAAACAAAAAAGCAGAAACAAATCCATACATACAAAGAACTGACGGCTGCCTGGGGGATGGGCAGAATGGGAGAAGGGGAGTGGGAGATACAGACTTCTAGTTATGGAATGAGTAAGTCACGGGGATGAAAGGCACAACATAGCGAATATAGTCAATGGTACTGTGATAGCGTTGTTTGGTGACAGATGGAAGCTACACCATCTGTGTGACAGTGAGCATAGCACAATATAGATCGTCAAATCACTATGCTGTAGAACTGAAACCAATGTAACATTTCATGTCAAGTATACTTCAATTAAAAAAAAGCACCTCTTTGTTGGTGATCGGAATGGATAGGAAATAGTTGGGTTGATAATCTTTTTGCTTTTTTTTCCTCTTCTTTATTTGATCTTTACTGATCCGTTCATTTTCTTTACTTCTCTCCAAATTTGTGTGAGGTACATCAGTGACTAGAGGGAAAAAGTCAAACAATAATATGTCTGATGTATTTAAACAAAGATAACTTAGTCAAAAAAAAAAAAGGAAACAAGCACTACATAAGTAGCAATCATTCATAATAGTCATTTTGAAATCTAAAGCAGGAGCTAGAAAAGTATTCTGTAAAGGACCACAGAGCAAATATTTTAGGCTTTGCAGATCATATGGTCTTAGTCAACATGATATTGGTTATGTTCCTCGGGGGGGCAGTTAGGTTAGGTGTCGGCTAAGTCGGCTGTAGACAAACACAGAGGATAGGTATAGCTGTGTTCCAATAAAACTTTCTTTACAAAGCAGATAGTTAGCCAGATTTGGCCCACGATCTAAAGCGCAACTAACAACCATGCTCTCTCCTATGACACAATTTTTTTTTTCCCATCTTTGGGATCAACTCTAAGAGACCCCAGTGATCAACACACACAATGCCTTGGAAAGGACTGTGGGAAGTCTGAGCTCAACCAACAGCACACTGCCCGTGTGCCTACACAAGCCTGAACTCTTTATACATGAGGAAACAGAAGCGCAGAAAAACTTTTAAAAACTGTTCAATGTCACAGAGTCAAATCTGGCATTTAGACCTTTTAACTTTCTCCTTCTAGTATGTTTTCTACTGGATCAAACTGCTTCTCTGTTGAAGTTCTGCAAAACCAAAGGGCAGAAGTAATTTTCCTTATTCTGTTGTTCTTAAAAAAATTTTTTTTTTATTTGTAAGTAATTTCTACACCCAATGGGGGGCTAAACTTACAACCCTGAGATCAAGAGTCACATGCTCCAGCAACTTATCCAGTCAGGCACCCCTACTGTTCTTTAAAATATTAAGAGTAGGGGCACCTGGCTGGCTCAGTCAGAGAAGCACGTGACTCGATCTTGGGATCATGAGTTCAAGGCCCACATTAAGTGTAGAGATTACTTAACAATAAATAAACTTTAAAAAGAATTCTAAAAAATAAAAAAAATTAAGAGTAAATAATGTTTAAATAAATGTCACAAATAGTATTTTAGTGCTAACTTCTAAGAAAATTAGTAGAGTATGTTTAAAACTTAAAAACTAAAGGTTTGTAGAAACAGACAGGAGTAACATACTCTAGGAGTAACATACACTTGTGACATCTAGAAGGTAGGGGTAAATTAAGAGCAAGGTAACCTGGGTAATAAGTCTAACTATATCATTATGAGTTAGGGCAAAATTATCTGGTATGTTTGTGCATCCACTTCACTACCATGTTTCTCAACAATATACCTGATGATTAATATGATTAAAATGATACATCTTCACAGAGAACATGTGTTTGAAATATAAATTATCATCAGCTTCTTGTATACATGTAAGCTAGTGAGAACTTTATAAATTCTATTGCTAAGAAAAAGTTTGCCGCATTCTCATCTGTATCATGAGCATCATTTGAATTGCTTCATATGATGCCATTGGGTTTTATTTCCCATGCAATTCTTTAAATATGGAAAATCAAATCAATATGTTGTCGAGCTGCTTGTAATTTTAGACATCTAAGAAACAGTCCTACATTTGATTGTAGTAACAAACTAAATCTACTTATTTTATTTTATTTTATTTTATTTTTAAGATTTTATTTATTTATTTGACAGAGAGAGAGAGACACAGCAAGAGAGAGAACACAAGCGGGGTAGTGGGAGAGGGAGAAGTAGGCTTCCTGCAGAGCAGGGAGCCTGATGCGGGGCTCGATCCCAGGACCCTGGGATCATGACCTGAGCTGAAGGCAGACACTTAACGACTGAGCCACCCAGGCACCCCTAAATCTACTAATTTTAAACAGAAGCCACAAAATATGCTAATAAAGTACCATATATATTTTAAAGCCACATCTGAATACATTTCTAGCCCACCTCCATCTGCTCTTAGTAAACTGGTACTCTAGAAATGGAAACCAATTTTAATATAGTCTGGATCAGAGTTTGTGGGTTGGAATCCTGTCCCCAGCCCCATTTACTAGCTGTGACATCTTCAATTAGTCACAAGAACTCTCTTTACTTCAGTTTCCTCCTCCATAATTTGAGAATAATAATAGTAGCTACCTCACAGGGCCATTTTTTGAGTGAGTTAATACATGAAAGCTCTTAGACTACTTCCTGGTACAAATTAAGCACTATCATTAGCTATTATTAGATGTTACCCAGAGCCAAACAGAATTAGGGAGATAAATGTGTATCTGCTAACATCATTTAGAAGACTCCAAAAAGAAACGGAGATGAAGTGTGAACTACCCATTGTTTTTCATCATCCAGACCACTTGTACTCTCTATGATTATGGAAAATGAAGAACAATCTTGAGCAGTTTTTAAAAAATTAAAGATAACACTGAAAAATATTTCTAAAGCAAAACACCCACTTTTTAAGGTAAAATCACAAACTAATTCTAAATAAGTTCCCAGCATCCTTCCTTTTATATCCAATTATCCAAATCCAGACACAGGGTTAACCCCAAGCAGCACTGGAAGCTGGGACAGTGAAGTTATCAACCTATGCCTATGTGGGGAAAGTAATCTATGAAAGGAAAAGCATGGGGAACAGCTGCTGGTGAGGCAACCAGTAATGTGTGTTTCAGCCCTGCAGAGGCAGCACTAGATGGTGAAAAGAGCAAGGACCCAAAGACAAGTCTTCCAACAAGCATCTTTCCATCAAATCACTTCATTTCCCTATCTGAGACTTAAAAAGTTGGCCAATCCATACAGAAGAGCTTATTCTAGGTCTGAGGCATAAAATATACCAGAAGAGCCTGGATCTTCAAAGACTCCTGGCACCATGTCAATTTGAAAGTCCCCTCACTGGCCAAAGACGGCACAATTACAGCATCATATAGAATAATAACTTCAATGGTGTGAAATACATCAGCTACGCTTAAATCCATCAGTTCATTATGATACTCAAAGGAAAAATTAAAAACAAAATTCACAGGTCACCTTTGGATTAGTCTGAAGAACTATTAATCTACAAACTTGGTGATAAAAGAGAAAAAAAAAAATCAAGCATTTATCCTGCTTTTCCTTATAAGCAAAGAGTCATACAGGGAATCAAACAGTAAACTAAGGCAAAGTTCTTCTTCATAGAAATTTTCAGCTAGTAATTCAAAAAGGCAGAGTTAAAACATCATCATTTTGAAACTCTCAACAGAGTAATGGATCAACCCAAAGATTATCAATGGATGATCCATTAAATGGAAAGCTGATGGGGAATTTTAATGGGTACATCAAGTGACAAGATGGGAAGCCACTGATAAATCTTAACATCACAAAAAGGCAAGACAACCAAACATTATATGCCTCCTGACGTCACACAATAGGAAATTCATAGCATTTTTGCAGCTTTCTTGCCAATATTCCAAAACTTAATCGAGATTCCTTAATCTACCAGTTTACTGAAATACAAAGGACAGAGAAATACATTAAATGACCATAATATAGGTACATCAATACAGCCTGATTTCTTCAATAAACACACACACACACACACACACACACAACACACACACAAAGGGAGATCTATAGATGAAAAAAAAAAAAACTGAAGAGATTTGTCAATCAAATAAAATGTATAGATTTTGGTTCCTAATTCAAAACAGTTTTAAAAAAATTATGACACAGAGAAATGTGAATACTGACAGAATATTTGATGACATTAGGAATTACTCTTATTTTTTGTCACGGGATGGATATTTTGGATATACTTTTTTTTTAAATTCCTTATCTTTTAAAGACACATACTAAAGTATTTACAGATAAAATCTATCTGAAATATACTTCAAAATAATCCAGTGAGGAAGAGGTGATAAAGAGATGAGGCTCGGTCTAATATTCCACTTTTGAATACGCTTGAAAGTTTCCATAATTAAGTATTTTTTAAAAAACAAAAACAAAAACAAAAACTAGGGGCAGGTACAGGAGTGGGACAGCTAGATAATCTCTATCTAGAGTCTCTTCTAGTTACAGTTTTCTCTCATCTGTGATAAAGGTACTAATTTAACACCTGTACCAATTAGGACATTTCATGGTGAAATTAGATAAAAAATGGTGTCCAGCGGTGCCTGGCAAGCTGAGTTAGAAGAGCATGTGACTCCTGATCTTGGGGTCATGAGCTGAAGGCCCATGTTGGGTGTACAGATTACTAAAATAAATAAATAAATAACCTGAAGAAGAGGAAGATGAAGAAGAAGAGTGTCCAAATTAATAATACAGCTGATTTTATCACCTCTAGTTCATTTCAAAACTAATATAGTAGAAAGAGAATCCTGAACCTATAGTCTAGTTTTTCTTGTTTTTCTTTTTTTTTTAAGATTTTATTTATTTATTCATGAGAGACAGAATAGAGGCAGAGGGAGAAGCAGGCTCCCAAGGAGCAGAGAGCCCGATGCGGGACTCGATCCCAGGACCCTGGGATCATGACCTGAGCCGAAGGCAGACGCTTAACCATCTGAGCCACCCAGGCGCCCTGTTTTTCTTTTTTCAAACTGCTAGTATCAAACTACAAGTGGGTTATGAAATCAACTTAGAAGATAATCTAAAAGCACTTTTTAAAACCTGGAATGGAATGCAATGGGGTGGAAGGGAATGAAATGGAATAAATAGAATAGAAGAGTATTAGAATGCAGAACAGAATACTGCAGAATAGGGGCGCCTGGGTGGCTCAGTTGGTTAGGCGACTGCCTTTGGCTCAGGTCATGATCCTGGAGTCCCGGGATCGAGTCCCGCATTGGGCTCCCTGCTCGGCGGGGAGTCTGCTTCTCCCTCTGACCCTCCCCCCTCTCATGTGCTCTCTCTCTCAGTCTTTCCCTCTCAAATAAATAAATAAAATCTTTAAAAAAAAAAAAAGAATACTGCAGAATAGGATAGAATACAAGCAGTATAGTCAGTACATTGTTTATGGCAGATATAAGTACTGCTCCATGTCCAGGTTTCTGCGTACACATGGGTATTGGGTGGCAATGTAAAATGTATCCTT